CTTTATTCCACATGTCTTGCCTCCTCCTCCTCCTCCTCCTCATCCAGGCTCATCTCAAACTTTTGCATTCAAGTGATGCTTCTGCCTCAGCCTCCTGGGTGGCTGGGACTACTAGCATGCACCACGATGCCTGGCTTCCAACTGCCCTGCAGAATCCTGTCCCACATTTCCAGCTGCCTCCTTAGCTTAGGGTTTTTCAGCTTTGGCAATGCTCTGTGATGGGGGACCATCCTGTGCAGTGTGGGATGGTTCAGCAACATCTCTGGTCTCTGCTGACGAGATGCCAGGGGCACCCACTCAGTTGTGACATCCAAAAATATCCCCAGACATTGCAAGAATCCTTGAGGGGGCAGAATCACCCCTGGTTGAAAACCGCTGCCTCAGTCCAGACTTGGCATCATCCAAATAAAACTACCACCTAAGGCTCCCCTTCCTTTTCCCTAATGAAAACAGGGTGGCCAGTTGCCCTTAGGTTCCAGCATGACCGTGCGTGGTAAAGGCCAAGGAAACAGGGAGAGGAGCCAGAATTCAGAGAGTTGGAGGGAGCCTCCAGAGTCCCTGAGCATAGGTGTGCTGAGTAATTATGGCATTTCGCTCTAAGCTCCAACACAGCTTCAAATCCTCAGCATAGCTTTCCTATTGATAAGAGATGTTCCAGTCGATAAAGACGAGGTGAAAGGTGGACCTTTGTGTGCTCTGACCAAAGCCCTCATGTTTACCTGTAAAGTTCGAGGGTAGAGTTTACTGCTGAACTCCTTTAACACAAAAGCCCTATAACAGAGCGTTTGACTGTGATTTGTTAAAAAAGAACAGTGGTACTCTGTCCCCCAAACCAGTCTGGCACATAGTTGGTGTTCAATAAAAGGTGGCAGAATTAAGTCCTTTGAACAGTGAGAGGACCAGGGAGGGTGCTTTTATTTTTTTTTTACTTTCCCTCATTTGGAACCCTTTCCACCTTGGGGAGTACTTGTTACTTTATGAGAAGGGAGGAAAACCCGTGGATTGAAACCCCCTAGTTGAAAAAGAAAAAAAAAAGTCCCCTGCTTTATTCCACATGTCTTGCCTCCCCAGGTCTGACCTCCCAGCAACATGGCAACCAGCGCCGTCCCCAGTGACAACCTCCCCACGTACAAGCTGGTGGTGGTGGGGGACGGGGGCGTGGGCAAGAGTGCCCTCACCATCCAGTTTTTCCAGAAGATCTTTGTGCCTGACTATGACCCCACCATTGAAGACTCCTACCTGAAACATACAGAGATTGACAATCAATGGGCCATCTTGGACGGTGAGACTGGGTGACAATCCTGCTTGGTGTTAGTTGGGGAGGATCTGGGAAATTTAACAAGTTTCAGTGAGACCAGATGGTTTCCTTCTTGTCATTATGGGGAGGTTGGTATAAGGCTGTATTTGATTTGCTGGGTGAATTCTGAACAGGCAAGTCCTTCACAGAAGCCTTGAAGTGCTTTGTGGAAACCAAAATATACCAGAATCATACCAACTCAGCAATGTCATGTTTGTTATTGTTTGCTTGATCCGAAGCTCTGATTAACAGTTAAAGGTGTCTCTAGCTAATAAACAAGGGAAAGACAAATTATTTCTTAATAAGCATAGTGTATTTTGTCATTGTCTTTGGGGAGGGAATCTTGATATGACATTGTGTTTCTCTTTTGGTCTAAATTAGTATTTCTCAAAGTGTGATGCCATGGAACTTATTAGAAATGCAAATTATCAGGCTTTTGCTAGTTTAAAAATTCTGAGGGTGTGGCCAACAATCTGTTTTAATACACCACCCATGTAATGCTGAATTTAGAGACCACTGCTGTAAATTCTTACTGATAATTAGCTCACTATTCCTGAGATTCTTAAACAAAGACCCATTAATCACAATATTGGTCTAGGAGGGAGCTCTGAAAGCCTCTGAGATACAAGTTCTCTATCAAATATGCGATCTGCATGAATTTTTTTCCCAGTCGGTAATTTGTTTTTATTCCTTTACAAGTTTCTTTCAAAGACCAGAGTGTTTAATTTTGATGAAGTCCAGTTTATCTGCTTGTTCTTTTATGTATTGTGCTTTGGGGATTGTGTCTAAGAAATCTTTGCCTAACCCAAGGTCATAACGGGTTTTCCTGTGTTTTTTTTTCCCTAGAAAAATGTAATGGTTTTAGATTTTACATTAAGGTTTATAATAATGAGTTGATTTTTACATAAGACATGAGGATAGAAGAAAGTTCATTTTTCTATAAATGGTTATGCTGTCATTCCAGTGCTTTTTATTGTAAAGATTGTCTTTTCCCCCCACAAAATGCCTTTGTATGCTGGTGAAAATCCCTTGTCCGTATAATCTATTTCTTTGATCTGTTTGTCTTTCTTAACACCAGGAACACACTGTCTTGATAACTGTAGCTTTATAATAAGGCTTGAGGTCAGATAATGTTAAATCGTTAAATCTCCAGCTTTGTCCTTTTTCAACATTGTTTTGGCTAGTGTAGGTCTTGAGTATTTCCATAGGTATTTTAGAATCCGTCAAAATTCTGGAATTTAGGATTATGTATAGTAATTTGAGGAGTACTGACATCTTAACAAAATTGAGCCATCTAACCCATGAACACATCATCATTACTCTTCTTTTATTTAGGTTTTCTTTAATTTCATCAATTTTTTTTGAAGTTTTGAGTAGAAAGACATTTTACATATTTTATCAGATTTTTACCTACATTTGTATTGGTGCTATTGTAAATGATTTTTAAATTTCAGTTTTTCAGTTGTTTGTTGCTATTATATGTAAGTACAATTGATTATTATGTTAATCTGATAGCTGGCAGGTTGAGAAACTGATTTATTACCTCTAATGGCTTTTTTTGTAGATTCCACTGAATTTCTCTGCATTGTCACATCAGTGATAAAGGCACTTTTAATTCTTCGTTTCCAATATGGATAGCTTTTATTTCCTTTTTCTTGCCTCATTTCATTGACGAAAGCCTCCAGTGCACTGTTGAACAGAAGCAGGAAAACGAGAAGTGCTTGTCTTACTCTAGATCTGAAGGGGGAGCTTCCAGTCCTTCAGTGTTAAGTACAGATTAATTAAGCGTTTTCTGGAGATCTGTTACAGATGGCTTTTGTTACATCAGGGAAGCCTCTTTATATTCCTAGTTTGCCAAAGGCTTTTCTTCAGAAACAGATGATGGATTTTATCAAATGTCTTTCCTGTGGTTACCAAGATAATCATACGGTTTTTCCTTTTTCATTTGTTAATTTGGTAAATAATGGTTTTTTTTTTCCTACTATTAAACCAACCTTGCATTCCTGGGACAAATACCTTTGGTTATGATATGTTATCTTTTAATATACTGTGGACTTTGATTTGCTAAAATTTTATTGAGAATTTTTATATCTATGTTTTTGAGGGATATTAGTCTGTATTTTTCTTGTATGTCTGTCTGATTTTGGTACCAGAGTCATGCTGGACTTCTATAATGAGTTGGAGATTATCCCCCTTTATTCAATTTTCTAGAAGAGTTTGAGCCACATTGGTATTATTTCTTCTTTATACACTTAGTAGAATTTGCCAACAAGGCCAACTGGAACTGGAGTTATCTTCATGGGAATGTTTTTAACTACAAATTAAATTTCTTTAATAGATACAAGCCTACTCAAACTATCTCTTTATTCAATGAACTTTGGTAGTTTGTGATGTGACTTTGAAATTTTGTTTGTTGGAGGTGCTGGGGATTGAACTTGGGGCCTCACACATGCTACCGCTGTACCACTGAGCTACATCCCCAGCACCCAAAATTTATTAAAGTCATCAAAGTTATCAAGTCTGTTGGCATAAAGTTGTTTATAATATTCTCTTATTATCTTTATAATATCTGTAGCATCTATAGTGATGTCACTTATTCCTAATATTGGTAACTTGTGACTTCTATTTTTTTCTCTAATCCTGCTGGCTAGAGATTTATGAATCTTATTGATTTTTCTCAAAGAATTAGTGTTTGCATTCATTGATTTTCTTATTTGGGTCCACTGATTTTTCACTCCTTTCCTCTTGCCTGCTTATTTTGGATGTAATTTTCTTTTTCTAATTTCTTAAGGTGCAAACTGATGTCTTTGAGACATTTCTTCTTTTCTAAGCTATTCATCTGGTGCTTTAAATTTCTCCTAGTCCTTTAGCTGTGTCCCATCAATTTTAATGGGTTTTATTTTCATTTTCATTCAGTCCAAATTCTTTCTAATTTATCTTTGGATTTTTTTTCTTTGACCCATAAATTATTTAGAAGTATATTGTTTAGTTTTCAAGCATTTTGGAATTTTTCAGAGATCTCTCTGTTCTTGATCTTTAATTCCATTGTATCAGAGAATGTGCGGTGTGTTATTTGAACTTATTGAGACATTTCTTATCACCTGGAATACAGTCTGTCTTGGTAAATGTTTCATGTGTGTGTGGAAAGAACTTGTGTTCTGTCATTAGGTGGAGTGTCTATGAATGCCAATTAGATCAAACTGGATGAAAATGTTGTCTAAGTCTTCTACGTCTTTATTGATTTTTCTGGATACTTTTTCTATCAATTATTAAGAAGAGGGGTATTGAATTTCTGTGCATAATTGTAAATTTACCTATTTTTTCTTTTCAGTTCAATGAATTGGTAATGCTCTGTTAGTAAATACATAAATGTTTAGGATTGATATATCCTCTTGAAAAATGGGCTCTTCAATTATTATAAAATGACTTTCACGGTTGCTGCATTTTCCATCCCTATACTATAGCCTGGAAATTGAGAAGGCCATAAGTTAGGGAGTCATAGATGCTGTCACTGATTTTATGTCTATCTCTCAGGGAACATTCTCCTTCATTGCCTGATGTTTGGTATCTTGACAACCATTGTTTCATATATTTTGCCTGTTTTTTTGGTTGTTTGGGGTGAGAAGGTAAATCTGGTCCCTGTTGCTTCATCTCGGCCAGAAGCAGAACCAAATCATTATTTAAACAAAACAAAACTACGTGTCATGACATATACCTATAATTCCAGTGACTCAGGAGGCTGAGACAGGAAGAACACAAGTTTGAGGCCAGCCTTAGCAACTTAGGGAGACCCTGCCTCAAAATAAAAATTAAGAAAGTAAAAAGAGGGGCTGGGGTTGTGGCTCAGTGGTAGAGCACTTGCTTAGCATGTGTGAGGCACCGGGTCTGAGCCTCAGCACCACATAAAGATAAATATATAAAGGCATTATCCATCCACAACTAAAAAATGAAAAAATAAACATTTTTTTTTTTTAAAAAAAGAAAGTAAAAAGATCTGGGGATGTAGCTCAGGAGTAAAACATCCGTGGTATTTAATTCCTAGTACCAAACAAACAAAAACAACTTTGTGAACATACTAAAAAATTACCAAACTATACACTTTAAGGGGGGTGAAGAGTGTGGTGCATGAGTATCTCCATTAAGAAAGCACCATCTTGGGCTGGGGCTGGGGCTCACTGAGTTCGATCCTCAGCACCACATATAATTAATTAATGAAGCATCCATCAACAACTAAAAAAATATTTTAAAAAAGAAAAAGAAAACACCATCCTTCAGGGCTTATATGCAGCTGAGACTTTGACCAGTCTCACTGGGTACCAAGCATGTTCCCACTTTGGGGACTTGGCACATGGTGTTCTCTCTGTACTATATGTTCTTCCTGAAAAGATGCTCATTTCATTTAGGCCTCAGCTTAAATGTCACTTTATCTAGGAGATCATCTCTGACCAGGCCATCTGTACTGGTGTCCATGCATCCTGTCCATATCCATTCCATCTCCCTGCTCAACTCTGTTTTTCTTTATTCTACCCTTCACTGTTGAACATATCCCATGTTATTTATGAGTTTTTGTCCCCCTTTCCACTAAAATACAAATTTGTGAAAGCAGGAACTTTATTTACTGCAGTATCTCCCCAGCATCTAGAATACTGCTTGGCTTATCATAGGGCCTCAGTAAACACTTACAGAATGGATAAACGAATGAATGAATCCTGAAATACGTTACGTGGTCACAGGTTTGATGTGATATCTATATTATTTTATTCTATTCACACTTATTTATATGTTGTGTGTGTAACTATTACAATTAAAAGTTTTCACTTATGCACTTTCTAAAATAATTTCATGCATCATCTATTAGAATAAATATCACACTTGGGATATACTGAATTAAATAAATATAAACAAGTTTTTTTTTTAACTGTAGGACTTATAACAACCTTTAATATAATAAATACATATTAGAAGCATATTGGTAAGATATAGTG